TGCTGAGGTTTGAGATATAAATGATCTCATCACCCAGGTAATGAGCATAGTACTAGACTCATAGTACTAGGGCCATTTGCTAGTTTTTCAACTCTTACCCCTCTCTAGTAGTCTGCAGTGTCTACTGTTGCCCTCTTTATGTCCATAAGCACCCAATGTTTAGCTCCCAATTATAAATGAGAACATGTAGTATTTGGTTTTTTGTTCCTGCATTTTTTTCACGTAAGATAATTCTCTCCAGCTGTATCCATGTTGCTGCAAAAAACATGATTTCCTTCTTTTTATAGCTGTGTACCACTTCATGGTGTATATGTAGCACATTTTCTTTATCCAATCAACTGTTAATGGATACCTGGGTTGATTCCCTTTCTTTGCTATTGTGAATAGTGCTGTGATGAACATATGGCTGTATGTGTCTTTTTGGTAGACTGATTTATTTTCTTTTGAATGTATACCTAGTAATGGCATCGCTGGGTCAAATGGTAGTTCTGTTTTAAGGTCTCTGAGAAATCTAGGAGAATAATTTTAGATGACATTGAGGAAAGTGACAGTAATAATTGCATTATCTTAATGATATCTTCTTGACCACTGAATCTGGCCCTGTCACAAGCCAAACAATTTTCTTTTTCTTTTTAAGATGGTTTAAGATAAAGTTTCTGTTACTAGCAACCAAGTAGTGAGCTGAATAAAATACAATAGGAAGAGTTTGAATTATTTAGGAGTACACATTTTTTTTCAATATAACTGACAGCAGATATTAATATGTAAGTAATGAATGTACTAAGAATCATTGCATAAATAACACTTTATAGCTTCGTAAGTCTCCATAGTTTCTAGAATTATTTTACATACAGTCTGTTCACAGTTGCTTTATAAGATGGGCAATGATTGTCAGTCTCAGCTGAAGACACATCTTCATCCAAACACTTCTTCAAAGTCAATGAAAGTGATGTGAACAGTTGTCATCAAAACCCAGCCCATCTTCCTCCTAACACTCCCATTCGTTCCTAATGACCTTTTGCTATGAGACTATGAATCTGTGGTTCTAGGTTGCTATGACCATCTAAATAAATAATGTGTATTAAGAATAATTCAAGTGTGTGTGTGTGTGTGTGTGTGTGCATGTGTGTGTGTGTGTGTAAGGTGAACAATATAAAAAATCTTATAATCTAGAAAACATTCATATACAGCTGCCATTTTTTAAAAACCTGGCAAAAACTTCCAAAAGAAAATATTATTAGTCCTTTTAAAGAGGTGCTTAACTAGCAGTATTTAGCTTTGATCTCATGATCTAAAGTAAATTCAACAACGTTTCTCAAAGAACCAACACTTTTAAATTAGATTGTTGGCTTCCAAAATCTTGGCCGAGAAATCTGACATGGTAAACTGTCTTCTGCTCCATTTATTTAATATGGAGAGATGAAGGTCCAGAATGAAACCTGGCAGGATTTGAACACAAGGTTCTGGGAAGTCTAAATGAGCCCAAGATTATGTTTGGCAGAGAATCGTGCCCCCCTGGCAGGAAAAACACACAGCTTCAAGTCTGTTGACACTGACAAAGTTTTTTAAGATAAGGAATTAAAATGCTCCCTAAAAGCAGAAACTCTTGGTGTCTACCTCAATATAACAGGTAGATCATTCCAAAACACTTTTGAAAAAGGTCTTTGTTTGGGTTACTCTCCCTGGAAATGAACAAGGAGCTTATTTATCTGCGACTGAAAAAGAAAAAAAAAAAAGGGCAAGCAAACAAGTTCTTTTCTTCTTTAGAGTGTATGGTCCAGAGAGATAGACAATCTCACACTACTCTGAGAAATAGTTAAAAGCAGGCAATTTTCTCCTCCCTCAGGCTCTGTGGTTAGCTGGTTTGAGTCGGAACCAAAGAGAAAGACTAGCAGCTTCTGTTCACAGCTTAGATAATCATTTCCTGTTTGTCCTTAGGCAGATTGCCTCACGGTTTCAGGAGCCTTGATTAAGAGTGTCTCAATTTACCCTGTAAAATAATAACTGTTTCATCAGGGGTATTGTGGGGTTTAATTAAAGCCCGTAAAGGGTACTAAGATCCTCAGATAAGACTGTGTAAACACTAAGTAATGCGTGTCTGCATATATACAGATATAAGCTAGGCCCGCAAAACTGAATTTATCTGACAGTTTTTCTTTTTCATCCCATCAACATGCCTCGGGCTAGTTTTGTTACCCCAGACTTAGAACAAAAATTTCTTCAGGCCAGTATTCTCTAAGAATTGCCAAATGATTAGGTAAGGTGCCTTGGTAAAGCTTTAAGTGTCCCAGCCAACTTTAGGTCACCTACCTTCTTACAATGTTTACCCAAACCTCGGGCATTTGTTTCACAACTTCATGGATTTACTATTTCTGCTTACCACCTGTACCCATGTTTACTTAATATTTTCTAAATGGGATACTTATTTGCTTCAAAAAGTTTATTTAAGGCAAAAAAATTCATATGACTATTGCTCATAGAAAACAAGTGTTTTCTAATAGCAAAGACATAGAATCAACCTAAATGCCTATCAGCGTTAGACTGGATAAAGAATATGTGGTACACACACACCATGGAATACTAGGCAACCATAGAAAAAAAACTGTTAGGTGCACTCTGAATGAAGATACCACCTAAACAGACTTTGTGTGAGCAACAAGGCTGTTTATTCAACCAGGTGTGCGTGGGCTGAGTCCGAAAAGAGGGTCAGCAGACGGTGGTAGGAGTTGGTTTTATAGGTTTGGGGAAGGCAGTGGAAAGTTACAGTTCAGGGCGGTTTTTTGCAAGCTGGAGGGTGTCTCCAGTGTCACAAGGTTGGCTTATCAGTTGAGGCAGGAGCAATGGTGGCATGTCACAAGGTCAGTTAATGAGTCACTGCAGGAACTAGCTGTTCTTCTCCTTTTGCAGTCTGGCTCTAGGAGGCCATCTGGAGGTGTACGTGTGGGTCACAGGGGTCGCCATGGTATAGTCCATGGTGTAGTCAGTTCTAAGAAACTGCATTCCTGACTTTTTATATTAATAATATAAAGGAAAAAGTAAAAACTAGAGAAAGTTGGGGGGTAGTGAAATTTTGGGGGCAGTACAGAGGGGTGATGGGTGACATTTCTCAGGGCTTCTTTGAGCGGGATTGGGGGTGGTGTGGAAACAAAAATGGGAAATAATTTAGACTTCTGAGAGATCTGGGGGCAAGGAGTGAGAGTTTAGGGTTGTTAGAAGGAGCATTTGCTGTATTAGGTAACTGATTGGTTATGGCATGGATACAATTTTGTAGGAATTGAGAAATTAGTCAGAAAAGGCAAGGTCCAAGTAAGAGAAGGAGAAAAATTGGTATAAGAGGGCCTGCTAATGGGAGGAGCCATGATATCCAGTTAGCGAGTGGCCAGCTAGGTCCAGAATAATTATTTGCCTGATTAGCGAGATTTTGGGCCCCGTCTTTAAGTTTTTTGATGGTGTCATATGCAAGGCTAGATTAGTTTAGATAAAAAGCAGCATTCTCTATGTAGGAATAGGCAGAGTCCCTCTTTTTCAGCAGTTAATAGATTGAGGCCTTGGGAATTTTGGAGGACAACTGCCACCAAGGGTTAACTTGGGCTTGAAACACAGATAGTGTTTGAGTTATGTCTGTAATACTGGCAGAGAAATCATTAGAGAGACTGTGGAATGTGGTGATGGAAGTAGTAAGGCCTGCTATGCCTGTCCTGATTGCAGCAGTGGAGACTCCTAATCCTACAAGCAAGGGGATTCATGGAATGACTCTTTTTTGTTAGGTAGGAGTTACAAGGGGGACAGGGAGGGGTTCATTTCCATTGGCAAACTGGATTTTGGGAGTAAGGAAAATTAAGGTACAGGTGTCTGTCCAGTTGGTAGGAAGGCAGAGGTAGGTGGAAGAGTCACAGAGGAGAAAAGTCCTTGGTTGAGGCAGAACTGGAAGTGTAGACTGAAGAGAAAGTGTTCTGTGGGGGCTGAGGCCTTGTACCCAGATACCAAGTGAACCAGCAAGGGCCATGGCTTTTAAAGTTGTAGTGGGGTTTGATAGAGTAATTGTATGGAAGGAGACGTCTTGTTTTCATTGTGTATGAGAAAGCGTTTGGTATCTATGAGTAACCATTTACTTTCATTAATAAGGTCAGGTATGAGCAGGCAGGAAGAGAGGCCTGGGGGAGAGTCTGATGAACAAGGGAGGGCAGCCAAGGATGGAGTGAGAGACAGGGTAAATGCCTGCTTAGGCTAAACTTGCTACTGACATTCTTAAGAGAGCTAGTAATGAGGGAGGGCCTTTCTGTAATGCTAAGCTGGTATGTTTCTATTTCTTGGTTAACGTGGGTGACAGGGCTTTGGAGGTGAAGTGTACAGGAACACGGAGATGGTGGGAGGTCTCCTAGGGGAATTCCATTAGGTGATTGCTGGGAAATGCATAAGGGAGTGGCAATAGGGATAGTTGTTTGTGTGGTTAGTGGTCCAAAAACAGGGGCTGCGGAGTTGACCTAAGGGGAAAGATGATGCAGGTAGGTGTGAAGAGAGCAGCAGCCTGTTGGTATGAGATATCTAGGATGTTTTTGTTGAATCTTTCTAGGAAGTAGAGTTCTTCCGGGGGGGTACAGGTGGGGGTTATTGAAGGAAGTCTGAAGGCATAAAGAGACGGGAGAGTTTGTCCAGTCTACTGGTAGGGCAGGGACGGCTGTGTAGGAGGAAGAGGAGAGGGATACGTGTAGCCAACGATCACTGGCTAAGGAAGGGTTTGAAATGGTTAGGAGAGGATGGATTAGGTTGACGGTATGTTGGATGTAATTAGGTAGGGGTAGAGGGTAGCAGGAGAACGGGAGCAAGGTTGAGTGAGTATAAAAGAAAAGAAGAGGACTTCATTGGGGTGGAAGAATTGGAGAGTTCCCTGCCACAGAAGATCATCTGTCCACTTTAAGAGAGAGTTAAGCATGGCAACTTGAGGGTAAGACCATGAAATGTCAGCTGTAATTGCTTGGAGGAAAAGTGTATACTAGCGATGTAAACAAGAGCAGGGCATGTAAAATAATAGAGACAGAGACTTTCTGAGGTGTGGTTTAAGTAGTAGGGGCGACTACATTAAATAGTGGTGTAAGGGAAAAGATGCCTAAGTGAAAGGTATGTTAGGATTATGCAGGGTTATTCTTCCACTTTGGGGATATGGGTGAGTTTAAGAGAAGTGGGGAAGAGTACTTTTGGCTTCCAGGAGGAGGCAGAGGAGTTAGGCCAATTGTCTGATGGACACAGCTTTATCCTGGAATGATGAACTCACTGGGGAGGGTCTTGTAGATGGACAGTGGTTGGGGTGCTATATACGACCAGGAAAGGTCCTATCCACTGAGGTTGCAGAGACTTTTAACTAGGGTTAGACTTTTAACTAGGATTGACTTTCCAGCTAGGGTGTCTTCATAGGGCCGGGTATCTGGAGTGGGTAAGAGGAAATTAGCAGCCTGGCAGATCTCATGTCTGGCCTGTTGAAGGACTGGAAGATAGTCACCAAGAGGACTGGTGTCTGCAATAAGGTTAGGCCCAAGCAGAAATGTGCGGCCATATAGGAGCTCAAAGGGGCTATACCCTGTGGGTTTTTTAGGAGTGGCTTGAATCCCCAGAAGAGCGAGGGGTAGAAGAACTATCCAGTCTTTTTTTAGTTGGAGGCTGAGTCTAGTGAGATGTGTTTTTAAAAGGCTGTTGGCTCTTTCTACTTTTCCTGAGGACTGAGGGTGGTATGGGGCGTGGAGATTCCGCTGAATGCCAAGGGCCTGGAGGACTGTTTGGATAATTTGGCTAATGAAGGCTGGTCCATTGTCAGATTGTATAGAAGTAGGAAGACCAAATCGGGGGTCATATCAATTAGGAGAGAAGAGATAACTGCAGTAGCTTTTTCAGACCCAGTAGGAAAGGCGTCAACACATCCAGTAAAGGTGTTAATCCAGACTGGATGGTATTTAAATTTGTGGACGCGGGATATATGAGTAAAATCTGTCTGCCAATCTTGTGTGGGGGTAAATCCCCTGGCTTGACATGTAAGAAAAGGAGGGGGCTTAAGGAAGCCTTGGGGAGTAGTATAGTGGCAGATAGAACGTTGAGACATGATTGTTTTCAGGATGGATTTCCATGATGGAAAAGAAATGAGGGGTTCTAAAAGACAGGCTAGAGGCTTGTATCCTACATGAAAATGGTGATGAAAGGATGTGAGGATAGAGTGGGCTTGTGAGGCAGGGAGAAGGAATTTTCCATGGTCTAAGAACCACTTGCCTTGAGTAGGAAATGATTGGTAGGTTAAGGATTTGGAGGGAGAGTAGGTAGGAGTAACAGATGAGAAGGAGAAATTCTGGCCATAAGGGGCAGGTAATGGAGGATTAGCTGCTTCTTTAGCTGTTTTATTGGCATAGGCGTTTCCTTGGGTAATGGAGTCTGGCAGTTTTTGGTGTCCCTGCAGTGGATAACCCTGGCCTTGGCTGGGAGGAGAGTGGCCTTAAAGAGGGCCTTTATTGAGGGGGCACTGATAATAAAGAACCCTTGTGTAGTGAGAAGACCTCTTTCTGCCCATGGTGGCGAAGGATATGGAAGGCACATTTAGAATCAGTGTAAATATTGACGGGTAACTCTTTTGCAAGTGTGAGAGCCCAGGTTAAGGCGATAAGTTCAGCTTGTTGGGAAGTGGTGGTGGGGTAGTACAGCAGCCTTGATAATACATGAGTGGGATACAACAGCATAACCAGCTTTGGCCAGTGCCAACCGACTGGCCTTTGAAGAACTGCCATCAATAAGCCATGTGCGGTCTGGGTCTGGGACTGGGAAGAGGGAAATATGGGGAAAGGGGGAGGATGCTGTATGGATTAGTGAGATGCAATTGTGCGGATCAGGGACTTGTGTTGGGTGTGAAGTGAGAAGCTGGGTTGAAGTCACGTCCGAGAGCAATGATTACTGTGGGTGTTTCAATAAAGGGTGCCTAAAGCTGGAGTTGGTGAGGGGCTGAAAGTGTGTGAGGTGTGAAGAGGAAACTAGACTTTGGAGGTTGTGAGCGCTCTAGAGAATAAGTGGAGTGTAGCCTGTAATTTTAAGGGATTCTAGGAGTATTACAGCTGCAGCGGCCGTGGTGTGTAAACACGACAGCCAGCCTAGGACTGTGAGGTCAAGTTGTTTAGACCCAATGCACAGTCTTTTACTTCTCCCATGTGAAGGGAGAAGGGTTGGGAGGAGTTGGGGAGTGCTAGTGTAGGGGCTGTTTCTGAGGCCTTCTTTAGCGTACGAAAGGAAGAATGGCAGAAGGATTTGGGGTCTATGGGGTCAGCTAAGTTTCCTTTCGTAAGTTTGTAAAGTGGTTTGGTTAGGAGGGCTAAACCTGGTATCCAGGGCAAAAGTATCTTACCATGCCTAGGAAGGAGAGAAGCTGTTGTTTAGTGGATGGGGTTGGGGTATGGGAAATTAACTGGATACGGTTGGCAGGGAGAGCGCATGTATGCTGATGAAGGTTTATATCGAGATAAGTAATGGATGGGGAAGAAATTTGGGCTTTAGAAGGTGATACAGGGTATCCCTTGGAGTATAGAAGTTGAAGAAGCAGGAGCGTGTCTTGCCAGGAGGATTCATAAGAGGGTCTGCAAAGAAGATCATCCACATATTGAATGAGGTGGAAAGCAGATGGACTGAAGGAGAGTAGGTCATGGAAAGGGCTTGACTGAAGTAGCGTGGGCTATCCCAGAAACCTTTGGGCAGAACAGTCCAGGTGGCTTGTTGAGACTGGTGGGTGTCGGGATCAGTCCAAGTGAAGGCAAAAAGAGGCTGAGAGGAGGGGTGTAAGGGGATGGTGAAAAAGACATCTTTCTGATCAAGAATGGAACAGTGAATTGTGGAAGTGGGTATGGAAGATAGGGAGGTATAAGGGTTTGGTACAACAGGATGGATGGGAAGTACAGTCTGATTAATGAGGCAGAGGCCTTGGACTAGCCTATAAAATTTGTCTGGTTTTTGGACAGGTAAGATAGGAAAATTGTAAGGAAAGTTAGTGGGAACTAAAAGCTCATGTAGTAGTAAGCAAGTAGTAACAGGCTTTAGGCCTTTTAAAGCTTTTGCTGGGATGGGGTACTGGCGCTGGGTGGGATAGGAGTGGTTAGGCTTTAAGGGGATGATAGGGAGTGAACGACTTACAGCAAGGGATGGGGAGGTGGTGTCCCACACCGTAGGGTGAAGGTAGTGGGACATAAGGGGAGCCACTGAAGGTATGAGTTTGGGGAGGAGGATGGCAGTGAGGTGTGGCTGTAGCCCAGGAATAGTTAAGGAGGCAGATAATTTTGATAGGCCATCTCAGCCTAACAGGGGAACTGGACAAGTGGGAATGATTAGGAAAGAATGTGGAAAGGAGTGCTGGCCTAATTGACACTAGACTTGGGGGGTTTTGAGAGGCTTGGAGGCCTTGCCATCAATTCCCACAACAGTTATGGAAGTCAAGGAGACAGGTCTTTGAAAAGAAGGCAGCATGGAGTGGGTGGCCCTCATGCTGATTAAGAACGGGATAGACTTACCCTCCATCATGAGAGTTACCCAAAGCTCAGTGTCCATGATGGTCCAGGGGGCCTCCAAGAGGTTTGGGCAGCATCAGTCTTCAGCCGCCAAGCCAAGAAGATCTGGGAAGGATTCATTCTGAGAGCTTTGGGTTAGAGCTCCAGGAGCTCAGGGAGCATCTACATGAGTTGGACAGTTCCACTTCCAGTAGGGTCCCCGTACAGATGCGGCAGGGCTTAGGAGGAATCCTGGGCTGCAGGCATTCCTTGACCCAGTGGCCAGGTTTCTGACACTTGAAGCAAGGTCTGGGAGGCGCAGCTGGACCCTGCAGTCTGGGCGCTTTGAAGTCTTTGTGAGCCAGTGATGAGGCTGCAGTTTGTCTTATGGCAGAGGCAAACATCTGTATTTCTGAGATGTGCTGCCACTGGGCAGCTTCTTCCCTATTATTGAACACCCTGAAGGTGAGGCTGATTAATTGCTGTTGTGGGGTTTGAGGGCCAAATTCTAATTTATGCAGCTTTTTTTTAATGTCAGGGGGGTGAGAAAATGCATATTAAACATTTTTCAGGGGTGAGAGTAGAAGTATGGATGACTTTTAAGTCACTCCAGATAAAGTTATAGGACTGAATTAGATGTTGGAACTCTTGTATATATTTAGTGGGATCTGAAGAAAAGAAGTCTAATTGTTGGCTGATTTGGGAAGGGTTGGATAAAGAGAAAGGAACATGTACCCTGACTATGCCTTTGGCTCCAGCCACCTCTTGAAGGAGGTTGTTGGGCAGGGGTGGAGGAGTTAGCCATGAGACTAAACTGTAAGCCAGACCAGGTATGAGCTGGAGAGGTGATAGGAAGGTCATAGGAGGTGGGTTGCAGGCAGAGGAAGAGGAGGGAGGTTCTAGGGGGTTAGGGCCTGGAGTAGGGTCTGGTTTGGACAGGTGGGGAGGAGAAAGTTCGAACAGGTTGATGGGCAGGGAGGATTCTGAGTTACTGGTGGAGGCAGGAGGGGTGGACGGAGGGAGAGAAGAAAAATTTGGGACAGGTTGTATTGAGAGTAGAGATTAGGAAGGGATTGGTATGACACTTCAGACCATTTGCCCATTTGTTGATAAAAATTGTCTAGGTCATGCAGAATAGAAAAATTGAAAGTGCTGTTTTCTGGCCACTGGGAACCATTGTCTAATTTGTATTGGAGCTAGCCCATATTGCAGAAAAAAATGACACATCTAGGTTTCATATTGGGTGACAGTCGTAGAGGTTTTATGTTTTTTAGGATGCAGGCTAGAGGCAAAGACAGAGGAATAGAGGGCTTGCCCATGGTGAAGAAAGGGGTAGAGATGAGGAGAATGAGAGAAGAGCAGCTACCAGGGTTTTCAGCAGGCATCCCTGACTGAGTCCTGGGCTGTACTGTGGGTGAGTGGTCAAGGCAGGCATCCCCGCTATTGACCAGACAGACACCAAGGGAAGACCATCTTCCGAGTTCGTGACCAACGTTGGAGTTTTTGAGCGCATGGATAGAGAGTGTCTCCTTTGTCTCTACTTAGAAGGAGAATGGTTTAAAGGAAGAAAGAGAAAGACTTGTCTCCTTTACCTCTACTTTAAAGGAGAAGGATTTAAAGGAAGAGAGAGAGAGAGAGAGAGAGAGAGAGAGAGACTGCTTACCTGATCTGAAGGTGGTGAGAGGGTTGTTGGGCTGGCCTGATGCACTGAGGTTGTAGGTGGGTCTCC